GGAAGTCCTCAGTTACTCAGATAGCCGCCATTTTGTTTTTTTCACTTATTAATTTTTTCTGAAAATTGGTTAAACATACGAAGTTGAAACTTTGCACAAACATTTATGACAACTAGACAAAGCTACAAAAAAATTATGAAGATTTTTCAAATTCATAACAAAATGGCGGCTGTTTAAAATTTTGTTTCTTAAATTACTCGAAAACCGTTGATTTTACAAAAATTTTACACGGATAACTTCTTTAAGGCGATTACATTACAAATCGATCGACACCTTAATCTTTAAGATCGGACTAGTATTAACTGAGATATGGCAGTTTTAGTGATACGTGACCGCCGGATATTAGTTGCAGCGCATGCTGAACTTACAGGTTCAGTCTAATCTCTGAGTATATACGAGTATGTTAGCGGCAAAGTACAAAATCTTGACATTCTGCACAGTTCCTAAAGCTTTCAGGTAAAGTATGAAATATAGTAACAATAATAGGAATTCCGTAAACAAACTTCCATTTTATTATTTATTTGTCGGTATTAGCCTATACAGGGTGTTTTTTTACGCAAGCCGAATTACAATTTCTAATAAGACACTGTTTAACAACAAAACAAGCTCACATTTTGCTTTCCCTGTATTTTGGTGTATATTTATATATGAGTTTTAAAATGGTTTTAGGGTTATTGGGAATCTAAAGTGAATAAGTCTCAACTTGGCGTTTTCACAAACTATGTTTTAGCATGCAAAAAAGTTAACGTCTTATTTTACATACCTCATACATAACTTGAACTATGCATATTAGCTGATCTGCAACGAAGTGAAGGAAACAGGGAAACCAACTGGTATTGTTGATAGAGGAGTCTCACGGTAGTGGTAATTATTTGGGTCGTGTTAAACACCCTGTATATAATGCTAGGCTAGAGTACCTATAAAGAAGACTTTTCATTACACTGTCTCAAAAACAGCTGTATTACGGATCGTTATGAGTCCCTAAAGATAGCTTTTTGCGGTCTAGTCCGTAAAATGTTATGCACTCGAATCATATGGTTGTGTCAAAGCTTATCTCAAAAACAAATCAGCTGTTCTGTTCCGTTAAAATGCTTCAACAATAAACAAACTTTGTTTTTTTCTTACATAACCTAATTCATTCAGTGTTACTGTATTTTGGAGTAGTATGTTGTATATTGGACAATGTAATGAAAACTATTGTTCGTAACTCGTCCTAAAATGTTTTTTTGTGACTTAATTGAATTTCCGGACGAGGCTTCCCAAAAAGCCTACTTTAGGGACTAGTAACGAAAACTACTATTTCTTCATACTTTGCCCAAATCAATTTTCTTTTGCAATTCACAGAAATTCTATGGAATGTCTGATTATGGCTTTGCTGGGAAACATGTTTACGGAAATGTATTTATTACGGACATTCTATTTTCTGACGAAGGAAATTAAATAAAAACACGATTAAAGTATGCTCATTGTTGTCAGTGGAAAATTTAGAATATATATTTTTTGCGTGGTGGTAAGTAGACACCCACACTTTATATCAGTAGGGTAATTTGCGCTAAATGCCACTTTTTCTCTAGGTACCGTTATCACGCTTAACCATTGATGACCATAAAATATATATCTATTATGGTACTCAGTCCTTCATATTCATTAGTTTGGGGGCGGAGCCCTGGGTCTCCTTATATTTGCCCCAGAGTCTAATTTGTATGCTTATCTTTAATTTGTAAGTATCTTATTTATTTGTCTTTCTTATAGATCAGCTCTTAATAATTTTAAGACTTTTCTGTATGTTTTGTGTATTCAGATGCATCCTATTTATTTATTACTGTTCCACCGTCTTTAAAACTATTTTAGTAACGAAAAACAGTATTAGTAACATATATTGAAACAAAAAACTGTAGCCACAGATAATTTTGTAAACTAGAATTTTTTCCCTGGAATAAAATAAAAAAACACTTGTACATTTGATGAAAACGAGAAGAAATAATTGGTTTCTCACGTAGCCGCTAACCGGACATAAAACAGAAATGAAAACAGAGTTATATGTTACAGTATAAAAGGTCTACTTGTAGTCTCCATAGATAGTGGTGTACCATTATAATACGTTTTGTTATGTCACATTATGGTTTGTAAAAGGCGTTCTGGATTATTCCAGAACATATCACATGATATCGTTGAGATCCAGAAAAATAACCAAGGGAAAGTGAGAGGTTGATGTAGTATCAAATGTCTTTACATATATCAAGAAAGATTTTCTTTACAAGAAATAAACGTCAATAGCTTCTAAATGAATGTAAATATACACGATGTGGTTTAAATGAGCGAGAAAATAATATTATTTTGGAACTCCTACATAATCTTATTCTATCGTCATAAAAACTTTAGTTTGACACGGAAGAAGAACAGCTACAGCTACCATTAAAAATTCACTTGCGACGAAATAAGGTTCCTACATTCCTAAATTTGTTGGCAAATATGTAAAAGGCAATAAAAATGTGCATAGAGATTAATGAAGACAAACCATCTTCACTGGATCTTAAAAATAATAATTCTTGCTTAACTTACACGTTTTCGTATATATTTTTTTTAAGGTTATTTATTGTGTTACTGTATATTGAGCATGATCTATAAGACTATTTTCTGTACTATGTGTATATACATAAAGAAATTTCATTAAAATACCTTAAGCCTAATGTTTAGTTTAATTATGTAATTTTGTAAGCCATAAATCAAATATTTTTTATTTAAGTATGTTGTACTTTTATTCTATGAGGAAAATGGACTGCCTCATTCTTTAATATTCTTGGAACGCTTATTTTAAGCTTTCTCATTCGTTCGCCCTAGAAGTAAAGTTATGATCTCGTCCATGGAACTCGTAAATATCCACTTTTAAGAGTAATAGCATTCCATTTTTTTAAAGAGTGGTTGTTCTATCTTTTGTAGTGGCTCGATTTTCAGTATTCCTTAAATGAAAAGTGCATTCGCTCTTATGCTTTTATAAAGAACATAAGGTTTGCATTTTTAATATTTTATCAAAGCAAATACAAATACAATTAAAATATGGTTAAAGTGAAGCTTTACTTGTTACTTTATGGTTAGCAAGTTACTCGGTACAACAATGTTATTCGAGTAACTTTAACCTTTCATTGACATTGACCAAGTTTATACCTGATATAAACTTATAATATTTATAGATGCATTACCTTTATAGATCGTTCAAGTTGTTTTATTACCTAAAGAAGGTACGGGAAACTAATCTTACTTTTTAGCTACCTCACTCATTTTCATATTTTTATCTTCCCTCTGTTTCTGATACATTATGTAAAAGGTAATTTTTTACCAATATTGTATATTTTATTTGGGTTTCTTTTATACTGCTGTTGGGGTTTTCCTTAGCGAAGTCACAACTTCAGTCGGTTCGTAGTAGTAGGAAAACCCAAAAGTATATCGGGCGAAGCCGACGGGCAACAGCTAGTAGTTTATAAATATATTAGTGTCCCTGTTGCTTGAATTCGAGCAATTGCAATTGTAATACTTAGTATTACAGGCGTTATCATTTTTCAAAAGCTGATCTTGTTTTTTGTGTTTTCTACAAATATCCTTACTCATAGCCGCATTAGGTTGTCCATAATAACGATTATAAATTCTAAAAAAAAAACACATTATTTCTATTTCTTCTCCTTGGTGGTGTTCTATGACTTTCCTATTTTTTCATCGTTTTCAAATCGGCTCTTTCAATGATTACTAAGAAATGCAGCACAGTGTTAATTCAGCTTTCTTTTTAGTATATCAAATTATCCAGGCTCTCTCGCTTTTTTCCATTGTAATATTTACGCCAACCCAAACTTAACTAGTAAATATTTCATTTCAACCAAGTCAGTAAATGTTTGTAGCAAACTGTTAAATTAGCAAACTTATTGACTGTTAACAATTAACATATCTTCCCACTTATAATTTCTGACAACAGCTAGAGTTTCATGACAATGTTTCCCATGTTAGACTTCTTTCACATCAGTGCGGTGCGGGCCTGGAGAAATACGAAACTTTAAAAGGGCCCCACGGTCTCACTCTCTATTTATTTCCCTAAAAAGAAAGTTTCCTGCACAACTTAACGTTCGCTCTTTCCAATGGCACCAAAAACATGTCAATCGGTTCAGTAGTTTCGGAGGAGTAATTGTCACAAAAAACCTGCTTGCGTATGAAATAAGTAGAGATTTGGTTAAAATAATGTCTAAATCTAAACCGATCACAGGTTCCCTACCGGCCGTCACACTGCTCTGTATGTTTAGTCTACTGCCACCTGGTGGGGAGGTTTCGTAATTTTCAGCTGCTTAAGGGGAGTCAAAGTCGAAATTTTTATTTTTTTTTTACTTTTTACTTTTTATGCCCTTTTTATAGCACAGAATTTCTTCTTTAAAATGGTATACTTACTTTTTTAATTACTAACCTAGAAATGTATAAAAAAATATATTTTCAAAAACATTGCAGTGACGTTTTAAAGGTAAAACTCGTGGACCCTTGGTAGACCCTTGGACGCTTTAATTACAGATTTCTACTTTACTTTTTAGAACTTTAATCGTCATTTTTCAGGACTGGTAAACCATACAGTTGTGAAATTTTTACCATGTAGTCATAGTGACTTATTCTTAACACAGGCATAAGGATTTCATCATAATATGATGATCTTCTACTAAATATATTATCTTTAGTATAAGCCTGTAAAAAAAGTTCAATTTATTTTTGAAATAAATATTTTTTAAATCTATAAAAACCCATAAAATAATTTTTTTTTATTTTAAATTAAAAATATTGTGTCTGTTAATAGTTAATTAGTTAATATAAAAGTATACCAAGTTTCACTATCCTACCTGTTCTAACTCCTGAGAAAAGTGACATTTAGTTGACATTACTAATGATAGGACCTCGGGCTCCCCTTAAGTTTCTTCTTAAATCTCCAAAACTATACAAATTGTATTGATTTCTGAATACTTTTCTCAGTCTGTTTCGTTCCACTGCAGTGTTGTCACCCCGGCCTGTGACCGGTATGGGGTTGAGGAAGCATCATTATGTCACTGTTCTCCTAGCCATTGCTTGTCTTGTCAACTTCGTCACCTCTGGCAGTGTGTCCGTCTGCTTCACGTGAGTAGCCTACTGAGTATGAAACCTATTATCATAGGTGAAATCTTAAGCCTAGAGATTAGAGCGTATCATAGGGCTTGTCTGTATATCGTCACTGGCTTTATGCCTCTTATTCTCTAAATTGATAATAACTACAGGAAACCGTTTTGTTGGACAATTTCATGCAAAATACTATAAATTTTCACGTGACCAAGTAAAAATAAACAATATAAGTGGTACTCTATGATACCATTATATTTATAAAATAGTTATTAATTCATTAGTATTGTTTGTTCATACGTGGACTTAGATTCAAACGAATGTATTCTCTCATAACTTGATAGTATTTGTAATAATATGCAACTATGGAATATTTAATGCACAAATGAATTGTGAATTACGAATTAGTTAACTAACTAGTTATATGAACTAGGTCTGTAAATTATTTCTTGCTTAAAAAAAATTACAAGAGTTTTTTTTTTAATTTGTGCATTGAATTTATGTTGGAAAAAACTTCTCAGAGAAGATAAATAAAAAAAAATTATTTTGTCATAAGCATTTTTAATAGAACAGAATTAAATATAATGAAGATTAATTAGAAATGTATGAATGTCCCTATTTTCATTCGATATTTAGAGTGTTGAATGTTTGGAAATTTTCATGCTACTTATATGCATTAACTTGTTATTACATACGAAGTACTGAGTCTCACGGACGTCCATCAATATGGGCAAAGGGACCCCTCCCACCTTTGAGGAACTACGTCAACCAAATATTTACATCTTTAAAAAATGATACAAAAAACTATAAATTTAAAATACATACAGTAAAACAAATTTAGCTACGAAAATTTGTAAAATAAACTACTGTGTATATTTATTTTAAACATTTTCCGTTGGAGGACTCCTGAACCCCCCTTTTATTGGGGGTTATTCTCTACACGGCAGTCCCACAGTCTCCATCTTATGGAATAGTTTGTTGGTTCATGTTAAGCCCTGTAGTATGTATAAAAATGTGTTCACATATTATGAGTTAAGTCAATATAAAATTATGCACTGTTATATTTTGTATTCCTTAAACAATAACATTCTAAATTGCATATATTGTATTTTTGTTCTATCGTTTCACAACGGATTTTCATGGGAAGCCAAGTAGAGTATTCCCTTTCACCTAACATACCGAGTTATTAATGAGAAATATGCACGAATAGTTCTACAGTTTTCAAGCCTTAAATATTTTTTTGAGCTGACACTAAGCTAATATTTAAATTCGTTGCCAATCAAATTTGTCTAAATAAACTTATCGTTTGGTATTGTAGGCTACTTGTGTTTCATTTACTAGAGTACATCAAGTTCTAGACGGGTATTGCCACTCGTCAAGCCCATGATTAAAGAGTACTGGAATTGAGTAAATTGTTGCAATAGTCTTATGCTGCTAACTATTTACTATAGCTTTGTTGTCTTTGAGAATTACGTTATATTCTATTCTCAAGAGGTATAGTTAGTACCATTGCTTGGGTAATTAATCGTTCGGCTTGCTACAAGCGTACGGCGACGTATTTCACTTCTATTCATCTCAATCGCATTAGAGCGTGAACTCAGGCATATACCGTAAATTACAATCTACTTCATGTGAGTATGATTACTATAACTTTCCAATCTTGAAAAGTCGTGCTTGCAGGATCAAAAAGGTAAATTCTATACAGGTCACATAGTTAGACATATTCTAAATTATAAGAAGAATCTATATAAATGTAACTCAACATAATGTGTAACCTAGATTAAGACACTCTGCATATGCTAGAGTGCGAATGCAAGGTTTTATGAAACACGTTTTATGACTTTCCAGAGAGCTTTGAATCATAAAGCTGAGCACCTGTAAAATTTCATACGTTTTGTGCTTAAGTTTTTTTTTAAACAGTAACAGTCTCTCTTGGTTACTCACGTAATTTTGAAAGTCATAAAATATTTTTATGTTCTATTTCACCTCAATGAACCGAAAATGTACGGCTGAAATTAATTAATTTTGTTATTTACTTGTGTACTATGTATATCATCAAAGCTATCATCATGCCAAATTTCAGCCCAATCCGTACAGTAGTTTGTGCGTGATTGAACTTCAAACACACAACCAAACACACAAACTTTCACATTTATAATATTAGTAAGATTTCACCTCAATGAACCGAAAATGTACGGCTGAAATTAATTAATTTTGTTCTTTACTTGTGTACTATGAGTATAACATGAATGAAAATATGTTTGGTTATTTTAAGCTTTTCCTTGTCATGTTTGTAGGAATTGTGGCCAATGCAAGCAGATGTTCGGTAACTACTTCCACGGCCAAGCATGTGCAGAGTTCTGCCTGGCGACCAACGGTTTCGTCTACCCTGACTGCAACAACCCTGTGACTGTCAAGAACTTCCTCAAAAGACTTCACTAGTCTTCCTTATCAATTATCCTATAAATGTAAAAAAAAACTTCCTCGAAACATTTTACTACCAAGAGACCACTAACAAAACCTATCACTTGAAAAAAGCGTCCTCAAAAGATTGCACAATTTCCCTCGTCAATTATTATATGACTGATATGGGGAATTTTTCAAGAAACTGTAAAACTCGAGACTTCACTGTATACAAATAAGTTTGTCACAAACGTGCACTCGCCAATCTTACCAACCATAGTAACAGCTGAAAAATAATAACCTTGAAGGGACTGAACCAGTTTTCCTCATCAACTATCCTATTACTATCACCTTTCACTTACAAAAGAAAAACTGCACTAATCCCTATCACCATTAGCTTTGAATAGTTTTAGTCTTCACTAGCACTACTATAAACCATTCCTTCGCTGCCAAGAATTTTCTCAAAGTACTTGACCCACCAATGGCATCAACTATCCTAAAGATAGACCAGACACACTCAGCCATTATCCTAAAACTGTTTAAGAACTTCCTAAAAAATCCCGACTATTACCTTTCACCCTTCTGTAAGTAATAAAACTATTTTCAACAATCTCTTCTAGTCTATCGCACCAACATGCTGTAGGCTGATGTCAAAAGTTCGCAAGAAACTATCTCCCCTCACATGTCCTTTAACTCAAGCTGTAATAACCACTTTCACCAAATTCCTTGTAACTCTCAACCATCTCGTCAAGAGACTGTAAATGCATACTCTTAAAATCCAGGAAACTCTCAAGTTGTGCTTGGGAATCTGCACGGGTTAATTTTACTTTCCTATAACTTAGATTTCATAAAGTGATATATTCTCCATCAACCACTCTGACAGCACTCATCACCATTCTGAACTGAAAAGATTGGAAATCCTGAAACTATGACGTAATCCCTCAAAATGCTGCACTAGATCTAGTCAACATTTCAAAACCGTCAAAACTTATACTTGTCGAGACTGTAGTAACTGTTTGCCTATTTATTAATCATTATTTAAGCCTTGAACCATAAAAATACTATTGAAAGGGTGTAGGCCTATCATCTTTTTCAATCTTGCTGTTTAATGATTTTTGTGATAATCTTTATGTAATATCTTTATGTAAAACGGTTTCTGCCCTTAAAGATGTTGCTTTATTAAAAGCAGAACGTTAACAAAATTATTATTGCAATAGGATATAAATTTAACGATTTTGGTTATAGCTTACATTTTAAACATATTCCCTTGGTTATAGTTATTGCTAAGATAACCTCCTGCAAAAATAACTATCTGGTGACGTCATAATCTATTTTGCTCTTTGGTAAACATCAAATAGATGTAATCAAATAACATATTGTAAACGCCTGTGTACAACTATTGAGTGACTTTTGTAACTTAATTTCCAGCAAACCTCATGTAAAGTCTCAATGTATATGGTTTTAAACTTAAACATGGATTTTCAAAGGCTGAATCGATATTGTGAACGTGATCTAAAATTATATTTCCCTTATTTTAACGTCATTTTGGTAATTGGCAAATGATGTTGAGATAAGCAGTAAGGCAAAAGTGTTTTTCAAATGTAAATACAATTTTTAAGTACTAATTAAATCATCAAATGAAGGAATTACATTTTATAATGAACTGTTTAAAAGGATTAAGAACTTATCACCAAGGTGATTTATAGCCATGTTCTAGCTCTGACTATTAATACAACGGTTCTAGTCACTAACACAAGTAAAATAAGCTATGTTTGTATTATTAAAACGATAAAATCTATTTATTAGAATATTTTAGATAGACATTTTTGCCAAACTAAGTTGTACTTTGACTATTAAATCCAATAGTCAATGGTAGTACATGCAACGTACAGCTCGTTTTCATGGTACAACATGTTGTATGGATTTGCAGGTGTAAGAATGCACCATGTGGCCCTAACATATTCATTACACACATACTTGAGACCATACTTGCGAGATTTATAGCGTTTTAAATATGGTCGAGAATATATAATGACTCTATCACTCGTGTTTCGAAAAAGATTATCGCTACACTACAAAGAATAATTATATTTTTAATAAAAATAGACTTGAGAATATTTTTTATGGTTAGGATCATTTCAATACTAATAACATTTTTAGGTAAGACCTTCTATTTTAAGTTCAAATTTACATTGTTGGTTGTTGCAAATTGAAACAGTTGATGAAACAATAACAAAAGTTTGTTTGTGTCGGCAAAATCATTACTTTTGCATCGTAAACATTCTTTTTGCGTAATAACAATGTAATGAGGAATTTTCGCAGGTGATATAACGAAAACGGGTGATTTCACAGTAGTGTAGCGAAAATATATTTTCACTTCATATCATTTTTTGATAAATGAAAAACAAAAGCTAAAAACAGAAGCTATATTTTTTATTTGCAATCATGATATTCGTTTTATATGTGACTAATTTTCCTGACTATTTTACAGGATTTTATAAGGAAGTTAAATATGGACTTTCCAGAAATGTCATTAACATTGAATATTTTTTGTAAATTGATAAAATCATAATAAAACTGTATTCAACTGTGGTGTTTGTGTATAATTTAAATCACTTTTGGTTTGTGTCTGGTTGTGGGGGAAATAATCAACACATACTATATCTACACAATAACAGTTAGGTTTACTGTCACAAAGTTGGTACATTAAGGCAAAATGAATGCTCGTTTAAAGCGTGAACCCTAGTTAAAATAATTATTGTCCTGTGGGCCTGTGGGAAATAAATAAGAAAATAATAGGCTGAGATGGGTATGATAAGGGTAAAAGTTAGGCATATGGGGTTAATGTATACCCTGATATATGGGTGATGTAACCCCATACAACCCCATAAAAAGATTACCAGATCATTTAGGTATGGTACTTTTACACATTTATTCATTTATTGCACATGAAAAGTAATTGACTATAGTAGATGTATCATTAATGATTATGAATAGTTTTATTTAAATGATTGTAATAAAAAAGAATTATGCCATGGCCTATTTTGCGTTATAAATAAATTTTTCATAATCGGTTTGGTCTCATTTTTACTTCTTAACACGACATTTACAGTATTTTAACATTCACTGTTTTTGAATTTTTGTCTACAAGAAACCACATATTGGACAAAAGTATATTAAATATTATTACAATAATTTTAAAACAATATACAACACACAAAATTCACAGTTAAATGGAATTATATAAATAATTTAAAACTAATGAGAAACATTTCATGATTTTTATCAGTCTTGCAGCATAACATTTTTTATAATAATATGCCACATTTGGTATAACTTAAACATTTTTACACAAAAATTTCATAGATTAGGTATATCTTTCCATTGTACATCTTTGTGGAGGAAAAGAAGCTAATAAAATAAATAAATAAATAAATGTAAATATTACATCAGTTTTAGGATATTTACAAATCTGTTTCCTTTTTAGACTACTAAGCACGTACCTATAGTAAGACATACTAAAACCCCCAAGGTTCTCATCCTTCGAAGATCTTTTCGCGATATGGCACCCAAGCAGTGTTGCCATTTTTACATTTACGTCTTGGTAAAATTACATTTCTACTATATCTACATAGACAAAAATATCGGAATTCGTGGTCCTTGACAACACTCTCTCGAACGTAATTGTACAATTTTGTTTGTTTACTCTAGATGCAGAATTTCTAAACGTTAGAGAGAATTGCAAAGTATACGAAAGGAATTTGAAAGGAATCTTCACAAACTGCCTAAATGATAATAAAAGTTGTACCGATCAATAAACAAACTGAAGGTTTGTCAATCAATACTCACAGGGAAGGACATGTTTAATCAGATTGTCTGATTTCCTTCATTTGGTTCCTGCAATTGTAAGGAACCCAATCCATTCTTTGCGTAGAGTACTCCCAAATGATATCAAAGGCTGATTTGAACAGCAAAACATGTTAAGATTCACCTTCTCCTCTCTCTTTCACACAATGTGTCACGAAATACTAAAGACAGTGGACAACTCAGCGAAGCGTGGGAACGAAAACGACTCAGACATCCACAAAGACTAAGCTCTCAAGCATCTGAAGGTTGGGCGGGTTTCCTCATCTCACTCAAACTTGTTAAGGAAGGGAGCGATGGATGCGACGTCCTCACAGTCCGGTACCAGTTTACCCTTGAACTTGACACAAGCGTCCGCGCAAAGCTGGCCCTCGAAGTAGACTCCGAACATCTTCTTGCACTGTGCACAGTTGCGTATGCACGTGCCGATGTCTACAGGGTTGGCCGAAGTGGAGAGGAGCAGAGCGGCCATCAGCAACAGGCACACTAGGGACTTGGGCGCCATCTTGGAGCGGTCTGGAAATTTATAGTGAATTGATTGAACAAGTTGAGTAAAGTGGTTTGGTCTGATGAAAAATTAGTAATTGAAATCAGTTCACCCTGATTGTGGCTCAAACCAACAATTCTAAGTTTTACTCTAAAATTGGATACAGCGGTTAACATTAATACCCCCGCCGCAGCAAACCTGCCGTCTAAGCGAATTTCCATTTGGCCGAATTGATTTTCAATTGATCTATTTAAATAACATTAGGTTTAACGAGTACCTAGGTTTGCTGCTACAAGGAAACTAATAAAGTAGTGTGTTTTTAGTAAAATATTGATAGCTTACTATAAAATAAATAAATTTGCCAAGTTTGATCAAAATATATCCATAAACAAGCAAACTACAACATTTTACAATATTCTCCATAAGAATAACATGGGAATTTTAAATTTACAATTTTTTTTAGTTTTCTCCGTAACCAATAACCGTACAAAAACACTTTGATATACTGAATTGTTTGTTTCTTTAAGCTCTTTAAGAAGGTTTGGAGAAAAATTGGGAAATTTTGTGTTTTGAGGGTAAAAAGTGAGAAAAACCAATTTTTACCCCATAAAACCCCCCATAAAACCCTGTTCCCATGGTCTGATCATGCTGGATCGCGAACTCATTCAAGTTTATCCCGCCTTACACCTTCAAACCAAATTTCATCAAAATCGGATAAAAATTACTCAAGTTATCGTGTTCACGGACACATATATATATATATATATATAAATCTATATATACATCTATATATATATATATATATATATATATATATATACATATATAAAAATTTTAACGAATGGTGTTTTTGGCCTCTGGGGACATTAAAATGAAAAAGTAAATCGGTCCCGGGCCTAAGTCTTACCATGAGACCTACGGTAATAGCTACTTCCCTATAGGGAAATTCGCTAAAAATGAAGGTATTGTTCTATCCATAGAGAATGGGGGTTTCCCCATAGTTAGTACTCTATTGTTGTTTAATCTAAGCCTAAATATTTGATGGACGGGCTTATAAAAACTCCGCGAGGTGGTCACTTCGAGCCCTTCGCGGCAATTGTCCAACTCCGTGTGGTTTTTATGTTCCAACGGCTTAGTTTATACATAATCACCTAACCTAACCTGACTTGTGACATGAATAAGTAGCTATGAACAAATTAAATTGTAATTTTACTTATGGGAGTTTGACTATACAATAAATGTAACCACCGCACGGATTATACAATGTTTAAAGACATTCCATCCCCATGTTAAATTTGTAGCCAGCTTTTTTATCAAAATCGTCCTAGTTGATGTGAGCCACCTACAGATTGCGCTGATCTAAACTACTAAATTCTGCCGAATACACAATATTTTTAACCAAGTCAAACTTAGGAAATGACTTATGATGAGTTATAGCATAGATAAAACTTACTCCAGCAACAAAAAATAAGGTATGAAATAGAATTTTAGACACTAGTGCATTCTGTGATAGCTCACACAACTACATTCTTTTTTAGTAAAAAATTGGCTACAGCTGGTCCATATAGATAAGAAGTCGGTTTAAACGGTTTAAACTAACAAGTGAGCATAAATAGGAATATTATATTTATTCATACAATAAGTTTTTCGCAGTAGTTTTTATGATCTAATTTTATGGGATTCTAAATCAATCAAATGAAAAATGTTGCGTAATTTGTTAGTCATGCGTATTTTGAATTGTTTTATGCTGTTGTATTTATTTGTTTTGCTGTCATTTTTATGCCTATGCCTATGCAACCCTACAGAACAATGTCTACTGTAAAAGAATAGATACGTAATAAAGATATAATGATTTGTTTAACAATTTATAAGGATTCTGAAAATTGAATTTAAAATATTAGGATAAAATATGTTACTATTAAAAAAATTGATATTTCATTAGATTATTAATCGTTGAAATAAACTAATTAAATTTTTTGTTGCATCAACCGCTTGAATAAGTTATGTAAAATGCCATATAAATGTAATTCATTAATTTATAAACAAAGTGAGAAATCGGCAAAACAAAAAATGAGTTTTTAATTAACAATACTGTACTCTTCTATAACTTATACATGGATAGTTCAATACAAACGTTCGAAATACAATCCAATTAAAACATGTTGATAAGCAGAAATTTCTGGACTAATTCTTTTTCCCAAGTCGTTAAGATTTCTATTGTAAAAATAACGCAGTTGAAAACTTTGATGAGATATAATAGGTTTTAATTAAGTTTTATAACAGTTCTGTGACAGAAGCCTTGTTGGTTTATTAGCCATGATTATTAAGACTTCTCTCGTAACTTTAATTTCAACAAGGTTGTACTTGAAATCGTATAAAATCAGTATTATATAAAACTGAGTAACGGTAGGTTTTATAGATATTTTACAAATTTGGTGTTTTTTCTGGTAAGAAGTTTAATTTTATTTTATTTATTTTTTCAATAACTTCAGGAAGTATTTTTCCTATTTTTTGAATTACAGAATTTTTCAAATATCGAGAATAGTTGAAAAATGTTCTGTTCGAATAAATTATATAATCTGATAATTCTTATTTCAAAGCTTTAGTCTTGAATTGCGCGAAATTTAATTGTCTTTTTTTTGCTTAGCAGGCGCAGAGTTATCAATCATTGAGATGGGGACGCCACCTAGGTGCGTATTTAAACCCAAATATAAGTGAAGGATGAGTGTAGAATGTTGTGAGAAGATCTTTGTAGCTTTGTTACTGACAAAGATCATGTATTTCACATAGTATAGTATTTTATACAGGGTGTTTCCGAATTGTCTGGACATATTTTGTGGACTTGTTCTCTGTGCTAAAACAAACATGAAACACCTTATAAGTATGGGTCTAAAGTGCCTAGATTTATGTCTGTCTGTTTGTGATTATTATAAGTTATTTTATATCTTGGGCAGTTTTCAAGATAGACATTTAAAACTTGGTATGCATGTGTAGTTCTGAAAGTAAAAAGAATACTTTTTACCATACTTGAGAACATGGTAATCCTATTAAATTGCGTAACCGAATGTAGGAAAAAACTGATAACTCAGTTATTTTTCTTTTGATTTTAACAAACAAGGACTCATTTGATTTGTATTAAAATCCTCTATCCTTTTGGTAATGTAAAGAGTTTTCTTAATATTTACGGTTTTCGTGGAATTTGGCATTAAAGATTTTAAATGGCCGCCATATTGAAACGGCTTAAGATATTGGAACGAAATTTTCACAGTTCTTTTTTACTTTCAGAACTACACAGTCATACCAAGTTTTAAATCTCTATCTTGAAAAATGCCCAAGATATAAAATTATTTATAAAATTCACAAACAGACCGACAGACAGAAATCTAGGCACTTTAGTTATTTTACGGTTGTCTTAGCCCAGGGAACAAGTCCACAAAATATGCCAGAATCCGGAAACACCCTGTAGAATAAACCCATTGTAATGCCATGTACTGAAAACTGTTCTGAAAACTAATCCAAATAACGATTTAAAAAAAATACAATTTTACTTAATTGCGTTACAAACAAAACACATCTACAAAGTGACAATTTCCCCAATTCCTTTCGAAGCTCTATATGCTAATCTATTATTCAGTCACTGTTTATTCCTCGTTTTATTTTCCAGACTTCTCACATTCTTTCACCTTCCCTTTCCTCATTGCCCGTCTTGACGCGCGTCTTTTGCTGTTCACCTTCAAAATACGTTAATCTGAGGAGAAACACCGTTATCGACTATACTCTTTGTTTGCTTACGTTTGCATCATGTTGGAGGAAGATCTTTGGGATCTACTTTGTTGATTCCTACAGGTACTTTTAAATGTCCTGTGTAGGTCGTGAAAAGTGATTAAATGGTTCTTTGGTTATATTTTTAATTGTGCGCTTTGCTTTTTGCATATTACAATTATTAATAGTTTACAAATATTCTATGGTCAAAATGAGTAACGAGTGAAGTGTTGAATGCATGATTTTTATCTTTGTAATAGACCATAGAGAAGTAAGGTGAGGAAACTAAAATAGGCTTGTTCATTTTGCTAGAAACATAATTTATCTGGGTACAAACTGTGAACAATGGAAGGAAATACTGTGTACTTTGAAGACTGTATAACTTAATCAATTAAGCTAAAATAATTTAATAATAATAATTAAATAATAATTTAATTTAGCTGGTTAATAATGTCACTCATCTGTTTCTCTTTCTGTTTTTACTGTTAAATGTTCTATTTATTTTGTTTTTGTTGTTAAATAGTCTATTTTATAATGTTTTTGTTGTAAAAATGATCTATATTGTCTTGTTCAAAATGATTTGTTATGTATTTTTCGTTGTTGATAGTCTATTTAAAATTGTTTTTGTTGTTAAATTGTCTATTTATATTGTTTTTCGCGCATCATGCCTGTATAGCTGTTACGTCCAGTAAATCATGCATATTATTAATCAAAATTGTGTTGTTATCGTATTTCATATTATTTATTATAATTTCATATTTGTTAATATTTAATTATTGATCGCACTATAACTATTAATTTTAATAATTTTTTTTAAATAATTATTTTAATTTTAATAAATCGCACTTAAGTCACATTTAATTTTTATCAATCTCAAATCAACTCTCTTGTAAAATGGCGCTTGCCGTGCATGTAATAAATGAAAATAATAAATAAAATTGCTTAAAAATCTGAAGTCAGGTTTTTTATGTGTTTAATTTCCTGTTATAAATTATTGTACACATGATTAAATACCTAAACAACCAAGCAACTTAGAAACATGGTATTCGTTTCATCAAATAGCAAATTTTAACTGGTTTTATACAGTAACTACTAAATATAATTATAACAATGTCAGCAATTGTAAAAGGTTATTAATGTCTGTAAAAATCGCCTCAATTGTGAGTGTAAGTTATGTTTTCTTCTTGATGACATGTGTTGTGGCATAGTCAGCTGACCAACAATGGACCTTTCTACACCATATGTGTAAAGCATTTGACGAATCAAACATTAAATTGACCTCAGTATCAAAATGACTATTGCGAAAAAAGCAAAGTGTGTTCTTTGGATTCATGAAACAGATTTGTAACAGCCTAACTGTGCGAAGAAGGCTTCGTTTAGAGTATGGCCGAAATTCCAACATGTTTAAAAGATCCTCATATCAGAAGAAAATTTAACTTACAATAAAAGGTTAGGGGATTGTTACATACATTTTATAAATACTTTTTACGATTACTGACATTTTTATAATTATTTGTTTTGCAATTACTGTATGAAACTGATTTCAATTTGTTATTTAATTATATAATTTCCATGTTTCTAAGTTGCTTGGTTATTTATTTAATCTTAAAATATGACCAATTATTTATGACCACCCTATTTTATTGTCCTAGTGTTACTTAAATGTTACTCTCTCGTTTTGACATATTTTTACAATTTCTGCTTCATCCTTTGATTATAATACCGAAAGAATATGCTACAGATACGTAAATAGGTATACAATCTATATAGGTTACATATACTGTAGATCTTTGCTTTTTTGTACTGATTGTTGGTAAAATCTAAAAATAAATAGAAAATTTCAAATGCAACTAAAACGTTGAGTACCATAATGTAAACGTAAATTAATGTAACGTACCAATTTTAACGTAACTTCAGTCTCGTTAGAAGCATTATTGCGTACTTTATTGTATGAGTAAGGATAGATACGCCATATTATTAAATCTTACTGAATGCTATAGTGGCCTATAGAGACTGATCATGGAGTAGAGGCCTATTGGTTTCGTGAATGATGAAGACGCATTTGTCCTCTATTGAGAAGATAATGTGTCAATCAGACAAGAACGAAGTTGAGAGGCCACTGTTGGACTATTTTATGGATTAGTTTCTGGAGTTGTGACAAAGTAGAATCCTTTCCCGAGTGATTAACTATTATGACTTACAACATCCTTGCTATATCTTATTACCTTTAATCTCTGGCTTAACCTACCGATAAATAAATCAATTTCAACTCTATTTCTGTCACAGTAAAAAATGAATTTAAAACTTTTCATGCAGTTATTTTGAAACCTATATTACTTTTTCAAAAACCATATAATGATAATACCTCCCAGAATGTGTTATATGTTGATAATAAATATAACTGGTTTTTCGATGTTGACCTTGCATGCCATAGTAACTCCATAGGTAAAACATACTATGTTTTATCTATGGTAATTCATAACAATATAATAACTTATTAAATCAGTTACATGATTTTCAAAATATTACTGCTCATGGCTTAGCTCTATCATAGATTAAACACTCGTAAAAAATAATAACCATTCATTTTGATTTGCTAGGTATCATCATGATGATGGGGATGTCCTTAAGACGTTTTAAGGATCCCTTGAGACTTATGTGGAGAGTTTATTTTTTGTGTACTATTAATTTTTGGTTATTTTGCCAACTAAAACAAGATTTTAACTAAATAAAATAATATAGTTGCAAATTTTAGCTTTTTCTCTATTATTGTTATTGAAATTGAAGGGTGTTGCACATTAGGAGAAAATTCAACCTAAAAGGAGCTAAATTGTTTATTTGGATTCAGTACATTCGAATTAATACTTTACTTTAAAGTAAAGTATATATTAAACAAAACAACCAGAAACTCACGTCAAAACAGGCTTTAAATTCAACAATAGAATTCTACTTTCAGTTCCCAAAGTTAATGATACACTAAAATATACTTTAGAGAGATGGCGAAGTATTTACAATGAATAAGTATTTATTTGTTTAACAAACTGTTTTACTACAACTGCCAACTTCTTTTATCAATTAACTTAATTTAACTATAGGGTTATTTACAATATAATTAAAAGCAACTATGGATATAAAATAACTTTATAGGTACCGTTACGTAGGTTTTTTTATTTTTTTTTTATTCTGAATTCAAGGATGTTTAGGTAAGAAATGCATTAACCTTAGAAGAATATTTATATTTCATTAGTTATTTACAATCAAGGTGTAACGCTTGAGTTACTATAGCTTTGTCATAGAGTTACAGCTGGAAAGAAACTTCCCTAAGATCATTGTTTCAATAAAGCTGATTGGACCCATAATAAAAAGTCCTATATGTTCACATAATCGCTAATAAACCATATAGAATTAATTACAGACATAACTATAATTGTTGTAATTAACGAAAAGTTTATTTACTTTGTACACACAAACTGTAATCAGGTACGATTTATAGTAACATGTTGTGTGGCACTTGTACTAATGTAGCATTTATTCAAGAAAACGTTATAAAAAATATTCACTTTTTGTGGAGCTTCTTATGAGCTACTTTCAGAAACTTAATTAGCAAACACATATTGAGCAACCTGACTACGGACTAGTGTACAAGCTAGAGTTACCTTGGTAGTGTGCCCGAGTCGTGTGAGATGTAGGAATGCTGGGCTCCGCTGGTGCTTGGCTATATACTAGCCAGTAACCACGTTAACATTACCACACGGCAGGATTCCACTCGTCCACTCAGCACAGCTAACTACGTCAGCTGAGTCTGGAGGATGTTCGGACGAGGGTCAATGAACAAGAGTAGTTATGGTAGGAGAGGATTTTATGGAGAATTGAAATGAAATTGAAAATTTTCATATATGAGTGAGTGTGATTGTTGGTGTACATGTGAATGAAAGTTTAGGGTTGGTGTTTGTTATTATAAGAGAATGAGAGATTGGAAGAGAGATTGATAAGAAAGAGAGAGAGAGAATGAAAGAGAATATGGGGAAGGAAGAGGGTAATGAAAGAGAGAGGGATAGAGAATGTGTGGCTGTGGGAGTGAGAGAGAGAATCCCATTCTAGAATTCGTTACAGTAAGAAGTAAAACATACGGGTACAGGACATTGAAAGATACCATACCACGACTAAAGAATTTACCCAAATCTTTTAATTTTACAAACTATAAAAACATACTACTATCCATTAATACCCCCGCCGCAGCAAACCTGCAGACTTAGCGAATTTCCATCTGCCTGATTGGATTTAAACTAAAATGTCTCCTTAAAAATATCACATTTATTCCCTATTTAAACAGAATTAGTTTAATGAGTACTTAGGTTTGCTGCAACAGGGAGGGTAAACAAGTTTTTTTTATGTAAAATATTAAAAGGTACTGTGGTTTAGTAAGAAATTAATGTATTTTCCAAATTTGATCAAAATATGTTCATAAACAAGCAAACTACAACAGTTGACTTATTCTCCATAAGAATAACAAGGGAATTTTAAAATTACAATTTTTTTAAATTTTCTCCGTAACAATTAGGCGCATAATAACGCTTCAATATACTAAATTATTTGTTTTTTTAAGCTCTACAAAATGGTTTAAAAAGAAATTGTGAAATTTTGTGTTTTTAGGGTCAAAAATGGGAAAAACCTATTTTCACCCCATAAAACCCCCCATAAACCCCCATTCCCATAGTCCGATCATGCTGGTTCGCGAACTCATTCAAGTTTATCCCGCCTTACACCTTCAATCCAAATTTTATCAAAATCGGACAAAAATTACTCAAGTTATCGTGCGGATGGACACACATATATATATATATATATATATATATATATATATATATATATATATATATATATATATATATATATATCTCTATATATAGATATATAAAAATTTGAACGAATGGTGTTTTTGGCCTCTGGTGACATCAAAATGAAAAAGTAAATCGGTCCCGGGCTTAGGTCTTACCATGAGACCTACGGTAATAGCTACTTCCCTATAGGGAAATTCGCTAAAATGTACAACACCTGTAACAGAGTAATTGATAATATACTATACCAAGTAATACAGAATAAAGCAGTAATAAAAACACACACTCACACACCCAATCACACACAAATATACACACACACACACACAAACACACACTCACATGAACCAATAACAATAACAGGAACCCCCACAAAGACATCATCATCATGAACATTCACCCTCTCTCTCTCACTCTCTCTCTCTCACTCACTATCACTCCTCTATCTCCCCTCTCTCTCTCTCTCTTTCAATACCCCTCTTCCTCCCCCATTTTCTCTTTCACTCTCTCTCTCTCTCTCTTTCACTCCCACCCCCACACATTCTCTATCCCTCTCTCTTTCATTACCCTCTTCCTTCCCCATATTCTCTTTCATTCTCTCTCTCTCTTTCATTATCAATCTCTCTTTCAATCTCTCATTCTCTTATAATAACAAACACCAACCCTAAACTTTCATTCACATGTACACCAACAATCACACTCACACATACATGAAAATTGTCAAATTCATATCAATTCTCCATAAAATCCTCTCCTACCATAACTACTAACAAGAGTTAAGCATTTGGGGAACTTAATTAGAATTTGCTATTGGAAACTGAGTTCGAATACCTTAAACAGGTATAGCTGGAACAATAAAAAACATAATTGCAACTAATACTAATACACCATTCGTTCAACTTTATTTATTTATGACATGCACGGGAAACACCATTTTACAATAGTGTTGAGTTGACATTGGTAAGAACTGGTAACTTAATTTTGAAATAGATAAAGTAAGTAATAATAAATAAGTAATAATTGAGTAAGTAATAATTAATATCAGTGTGAAATACAATAGTGTTTCACGGGAACCCTGACAAACTTCAGGAAATGGTTCCTGGGGTCAAAACACGTAAAAAATTTCCTATAAGCATATGTCCTAAACTCACTCGTTTTCTAGTTATATTAAATGTTGTGTCCCTTGACCATTTTCTTCAATTTTATTCAAGCCTCTTCACATGTAGATTACCATATAAGTTAAAAAATGAAACTTTGAGCAATACTCTATAAAACGTATACAACCTCACTTTAAGGGGAGTCAAAGTCGAAATTTTTATTTTTTTTTTTTAATTTTTACTTTTTATGTTCTTTTTATATCACAGAATTTCTTCTTAAAAAGGGTATACTTACATTTTTGATTACTAACCTAGAAATGTATAAAAAAATATATTTTCCATAACATTGCAGTAACGTTTTAAAGGTAAAACTAGTAGGCCCTTGATTGACCCTTGGAGGCTTTTCTTGCCGATTTCCGCAACTTTACTTTTTAAACTTTAATGTCATTTTTTTCAGGACTGGTAATACATACAGTTGTGAAATTTTTACCATGTGGTCTTAGTGACTTATTCTAAACACAGACATAAGGAATTCATCATATCTTTAGTAGGAGCAAGTAAAAAAATAATAAATTTTATTTTTGAAACAAATTTTTTTAAATCTATAAAAACCCATAAAATAGTTATTTTTTATTTTAAATGAAAATTCTTGTGTCTGTGACTAGTTAATTAGTTAATATAAAAGTATACCAAGTTTCACTATCCTACCTGTTCTAACTCCTGAGAAAAGTGACATTTAGTTAACATTACTAAAGATAGGACCTCGGACTCCCCTTAAAACTAAACACAACCCTCCTCGATCTACATAACATCTTATTCGAGTAAATAAACAAACACCAATTCATTGTACTGACCAGCTGTTTCATTAACTAAATTAAATTAAATCATGTAAACATTGGAAGCATGCCATGCGTAGCCTGTGGGGCAGAGCCCTTAGGAAATTTGTCCATATCAATACTTTTCGGGATATCTACACACTCTAAGCTTAATTTTGATGTGCCATATGCCTATAATTTTATTTGGTAAATGACCTTAACAGTTTACATAAAATTTGATTGTATCACTTTAATAATATAATAGATTTGTAATATAAAATTACCCCAAACCACATGTTTCCTGTTTTGTACTGCAGAATCTTCTAAAAACTGTAGGTATTATGGTAATCGTTCAAGAAAGTTAATATTTTTTCATATACAGTACTGGTATATATTGTTTGAAATATAATAATTTACACATATTCTTAAATACTATGATGAATTTAAGTAAACAAATACATTGAATTTCTTTGGTACTTTGATCTTTTCCAAATAATTGTGTAAATAGTTTTTATTATAATAATATACATTAATATACATTTTGTAACAACAACATACAAACTAAACATTCTTTAAATATTTAAGTTATGAATGTGTTGGTTTTAAGATACAACAAAAGCTGACATCAAAATGTAATTAATTAGATCCATCTTATTAGCCTAATTAATGGAACCGTTTTGATGGATTTTAATTTGTTAAGTGCAGTATAAGAGATATGGGGATGAAATCACCTGATTTTATCGCCTCAGGTAATAAATTAATCAGTCAATTACCAAGTCACAAGAAATATTTCACTCAGTGTACAGATATGTTGGTCTTACTTAGGGTACTTTCGTTTCCAATGATTCTATTGGGTGTTGGGATTATTCCTATTTTTTGGAACCCGCTGAAAAAGGGTATTTTTCAAAAAATAAGCTTCCTCTGCTGCACATCTGTCTTGGTAGGGTGTGTCTGGATTGATAGAGATGTTATTTTTACTACCACCTTCTCCAACTTCTTTGTTCTAAGAATTGGACGTTTTTTGATTATGTATTTTGTTCTATGGTGGAACCACAATCTGTTCTATACTTTGACTTTAAAACTGCTAAATCTCTCGAAATGCTATGACTCATGTGTTCCAAGAAAGCAATGGCCATTGTTACTATCAATTATAGTATTAGCCCTTTCAACACTTTCTCCCGTGTTTAACATAAGCCAAAACAAGTTCATCAAAGATTGGAAACAAGTAACTTTTGGGTTGGTTTTTTACATCATCTTAGCAAAGTTTATCTGTTTTCTTATACCAGCGTTGTATATCATCTACACCGGTGAGTTTACTTACTTGTTTCAACAGGCAGAGTATATGTGGAAGATGGAACTACAGTCGGTCCTCGATGGAAAATTGCAAAGCAATCTGCAATCAATCAGAATCTTTCATAGTGAAATTTCTTCTGTGATTTCTATATTTGAAAATGCTTTCGGTATAAATGTTTTGTTATACCACGCATATGTGTTTATTGACATACTGGTAACTTTCCAATATTTCTCTGATAGTTATGAAAATTACTTGCAATTTGTTACTAGAGTGTTTTCAGGTTCTGTTTCCATTTTGTTGATGATAAAGTTCACTCAGGATATGACAGAAGCTGTAAGTATTTATATACATAACTTATTATAACTTTGACATACAAATTGTCGAGCTATGTTTAAAAATTGATGTAATGCTAGATTCAATTTACTTAGTGGTTCAATTTTCAATTGATGTCTACTTAAACATGCACATAGCACATGCATATAGTATAGGCTGTGTGTATTGCGTAGTATTAATTTATATAATAGAATTGTTATAAATAGTGGCTAAATGTTTGTCTACTGATACAAATTGTGTGAAAACTTTTATTGGGGTTTCTAAGATTAAAGTATATTAACCAAGAAGTTATTCTATTTTCAAAAAAATGTAGTTGTATAACATACTTTTACTTACTGTAACTATACTTTCAAGAAAATGATAAATACACTTTTATTCTTTGTATTCGTAACGATGAATTATTAATATGTCTTATTTTACATCATAGAGATCATTTATGCTTATTTTATTATTTTTTTTACCAGCCTGGTTTAAGTAATGTGCTTCCTGGTGCATCAGCCTACCCATTATTTCCTTGCCTTTTCCATTCCCATAACTACGCAGCTGTTCACAATTTCAGCATAATCAAGACTGTCCTAATTAATTAAACTTGTTTATTAATTGATAAAGATTTGTTAATTTTACTATACTTTCTTGGGATTCTAAATGTTGATTAAATATCTTTTCAGTCAGAAGAAATTGTAAGTAATCTCAAAAGTGTCGAGTTGGAAAATCTACCAAATATAGACCAACTTCAGGTATGATCAAGTATCCTAATTCTAAATCAAATCAAAATCTCCTTTATTCATAAATGTACAAGTACAATATGGATAGAGTCTGTGAGAAATCTAACTTAAAGTCTATTCACAATATCTCAAATTGTTAAATTCCTCTAAAAGGAGAGAAATGCTTTTTGTAATAATAATTTCTTTAATTTAGAGTAACATTTTCTGCATTTACTTTCATTTTGGTATCTTTAGAATGATATCTAAGCATAGACAAAAAGAATCAAATATAGACCGTCAGCTGTGCTGTGGTTACCATAGGTTCTGGCGCACACCGCTGGGAGCGCCATGTAGCTACAGCGGTAGGGCTACGTAACTACTCCTAGCGGTGTGCGCTAGAACCTATGGTAACCGCAGCACAGCTGACGGTCTAATTCTTTTTGTCTATGATGTAAGGCCTCTATTAACAGTGTTTTTTTAATTCCAAATTATGTCTGTTTTGTATAACATATTGTGCATTATTTCTGGTATTATATCTATTACTGGCAGTACTGTAGTCCTGTATTTCTGGTAAATTATGCTACTTTGTATATTTTACTGTCTCATATATATATATGAATTCCAAAAACTGTTAGGAAATCCAAGATAGAAAAAATATATTTTACTTTTTCAATCCAATTTAAATTTAGCATTAATCTAATGGCTTTCTTTTGTAACAAAAGTATTTGATCAAGATTTGATTTTGAGGTCCCTCCGTACACACTACTTCCGTATGATATAAAAGAATGTACAAAAGCATAATACACTAGTTTTAGACTGTGATCACAGACATAGAACATCGTTCGAAGAGCATACAAACCTTATAAAATTTCGCCTACAAACATGTTGGACGAGAGTCCCAACTTAAATTATTATCAATAGGCCCTAATAATTCATAAAAATTTTAAATCATTGAGGCCCCACTTTATTAATTTTAGAATTAGTTTTTAAAGTTATTGTTGCATTGGTTTTATTTTTATTTGTACAAAAAGAAATGTAACTACTTTTTTTTCATTCAAAAGTACCAGATAACAGGGACGGTGATTGACATATCACAAGCAATTTACTTAATGGTCGTAAAGTCGTTTTGTACAAATTGATTTAACGTTTTCTAAAATGTTGTATTTTGTACGTATGTAACCAGAGATACAACAGAGCAAGCCAACAAATATTACAACTAGACAACTTAATAAAGTTTCTATTTCTTATAAGGAATGTTATGTGTAAACTTTACATGCTTGAATATATTTTAAAACTTCTACTGTATATTTATATTTTCTGGTTAAAGGTAGAGCTGATGTTGAAGAAAGTCCAATGTTGTCCTGTAACCATCAATGTATGTGGGATGTTTGAGATCAATAGACAACTACTAGCTGAGGTAAAATAACATTAAAAATGCGGATAAAAAACATATTTTCATTTATTTATTTTATATTATTTTATTTATTTATTATTTATCAAACAACAACAATATTTATTAAGACAAACAAGACAAAAGAGAATTTGTCGGAGTATGTAAATGGGTTTATAAAACTATCTTTCAGCCATTACATTTTTACTTTCTCCCTCTCTTCATGGTAGATGGAGAAAGTATTTTTATCACCAAAACTTTCAAGTTCTAGATTTGTATGGAAGTATTCATTTTGGGTCTCCCTGAGCCCAGAAAAGTGGTATTCTGAGTAATTTCTGTGTATGTGGTCGTGTGTGAGTATGTTTCAATTTACTGATAAGCTATGCACAGCTATGCCTGCCTGCCAGCATAGGAAGTAATTTTCAACACCAATGTTGAATCAGCAATGTCTGACTTAAGAGACCAAGAGGGAGCTGTTCAATAAATCATTATAATGTAAACACAAACTGTAATCCTTTATAATAACATCAATCACTATAGAGCTCTTAATTCTTAACTATTGTGTTTTAGCCAATTTCCCATTTAGGGAATAAGCTACTACCGTAGGTCTCATGGTGAGACCTGGGCCAGGGACCTGTTTACTTTTTTTGTTTTGAGGTGCTAGTCCCAGAGGCCAAAAACACCATTCTTCAAATGAGCAAAGATTACCAGATTTTGATGAAATTTTGTATAAACGTGTACACCTACATTTATTTGAACGAGTTTGCGAACCAGCATGATCTGACTATGGGAACAGGGGGTAATGGGGGTAAAAACTGTGTTTTCCCATTTATTGCCTAAAAACATAAGATTTTGCATTTTCTTTTCAAACGATTTTGTAGAGTATAAAAAAAAAAAACAATTTAGTACCTATGTTGAAGCATTGTTGTGTGTCTGACAGCTACGGAGAAAATTCTATAAAAGCGTTAGTTAAAATTCCCAAATTATTCTTATGGAGCAAAAATAAACTGCTTTAATTTTCTTGTTTATGGATATATTTTAATTGATTTTGGCAAATTTTTCTATTTCATACTAAGCTATCAAAATTTCAATTAAAAAACACACCTTTTTATCTTCCCTGTAGCAGCGAACCTAAGTATTAGTATACTCATTAAAATTAATGTTAAATAAAATTGTCATTTTAAAGGGAATGTTTTAGTGAAAATCCAGCCAGGTAAATGGAAATTCGCTTAGTCTGCAGGCTTGCTAAAGTGGGGTTATTTTTGCTATCCCTTGAGTATTTTGGTCTCTGAGTCAGTTACCAGTCAACTCAGATTTTATTGAGCACTCTACTATGCTTATCTTGTTCAAAGTTTGAAGAATACAAAAAGTTGTACAGTAGTACCAAGTACTTTATGCATCTGTCCTACTTAATCAATAAATTTCCAGATCATCATGGGGGCGACAACCTACTGCAATGCTATTGTTCAACTTCGACCCTACATCAGACTTATATATCCTGAGGATAACATGAACAATGTGACTGACAACAAACAGTGAATCTGTCCTTTGCTGTAATAAGATGCAAAATCCCAATGGGCATGTTGGTACAATACAATTAATACAATTTACTAATGTAAGAAGAGAAATAAACGTTTGGAAAGTAAATCAGCTTATATAATTACAAAAGTATTTATTTAATCATACATATTTAACTTTTTTTATGACAGTAAATATTCTAGAAATTAAGAATCTTCGTACACAATTGAAATCATCTCTTACAGCTTACTTGTTATGGAAACAGTTTAGAAATCACAAACATAGCTGTGATCATCGGTAGGATCAGAATATTTTACTTTCATATAAGTTAAGTCAATTCAACTTTAACCCTGGTGATTGGCTGAAAAGCCACACAATGTATTAATGAGAAATATATTGTAAAAAAGAGCAAGATTAGATGTAATTTAAATGGTCAGTACCTACTGGAAGAACAAGCCTTCCTCAGAAATGGTTGATCGGGTTCAATAGTTAAAACAATATGAAACAAAACACATTTTATAGATAACAAAAAAAGGTTTTTATTACAAACCGATAACATTTAATTACTGAAATAATAGCCAAATAAATTGATGTAAACATATTTCATAAAATAAAATTGAGATAAATATAGTTGTCCTACAATCACCTTGACAAAGTGGTCTTCCTTGCATTGATTACAGCACAGAAAGTTGCTAATTGCTGCATCTACTTTTACCGCATATATTTTTTTTTCTTTTTTTTTACATTTCTCTTTTTGCCCACTGGTTACACAAATAACTATTGATCTTACTTAAGTTTATGGTTAAAATGTCCGCTCTGAAATGGCCACCGGTGACGCACAAATGAAATTTCAGTCAAAAGTAAATTTGTGTACAAGTTGCCATAGACTTAAAAAACAACGAAAGTGTGTTTACAGGAATAATTAGATATAATTGCTTATAAACTGTAGACTACTTGTACAGTTTCAGGAACAAAATAAGATAATAATTTGTTCAAGAAAAGTAAATTCCATAAACTTACGAGCAGTAGCCTAAGGCAGACTTTTTAGTTCAGTTTTTGAAATTTAAAGACTTTTTTTATAAATAAAAATTAATTTTTTTGTAACTTTGTGTTTTCATAAATGTAGGTAGCCTGAATTTGGTTCATGTACCACCTGTGGACATGTTTCATGTGGCTTCTACAAACACGAATACATAGTAAAAACACTCACAAAGACTGATAAATGCCGTTTTGTTGCATACAATCACCATAGATACGGTATCCACCGGTGGCGCACATAAGAGTTTTGGGGGTCCGTGTACCATGGGTGGTACATGTTGGAGTTTTCTAAAACTTAATAACTCGGTATAACAATTATTGGAGAGAACTTGTTAAAGTGCTACTTGTGCAGCATTCACTTTTTTCAACTCCAGTCATTGAAATCTGTTGTGTAATCTTTACACTCATCAAACACACCCAAAAAAAGTTATAAAACAAACCAAATAATATTAATATTTAATTTTCTTCATGCAACCCAGAACCATATATCATCCGTATGTTTAGTGACCTCAATTTTCAATCTATTTCTTCTAAAGAGATTGAGCATCTGCTCTTTTATTGACTTTTGGCACATTTGAAGCCAATTGAAACCCCCAAAAATAGGCTAATTACTTTAATTTGATTTTTTTTTCATAATTTCAAATTGTAAATTCTGTTTGCTCCCATTTTTCTGATCTAAAATTCAATAAGTTCAATGCTAGGATTTTGAGTCAGCTATTAAGTTCTTTTTTCAGTGAAACCCAAAGTTCCCTGTTGTATTGGTCCAGAAATCATTTTGTTCGTTTCGAACTTCCCTATTCCTAAAATTCCAGCTTTTACTGGATTTTTAGGGAAATGTTGTTAGGAAATCTATCAAAGACATTAAAGGTTAGCTCTGTCCAGTATAATTAAAAAGGGTATTTTATTTTGTATACTATTAGATTATTACTAAACCAACTTTAAAACGGATTCAACCCAGGCCAGCAGTTTGCATGTGATGCGCTATGGGCCCGAGAGATTATTACAACTCTCTCCACTTACCTTTTAAAGAATTTTTCTCTACCATGCGCCCCCAAAATCCTAAATCCTCCAATGGTTTTTTGGTTGTCTGAAGACTAGAATAGGTACAGTAGTTTAAAGCATTTATTATTTACCATAAAAATAACCAGTTACTGCTTATTTAGAAAAAAGCTTGGAAAAACTACAGAAACTATGAAAAACTCACTCATCAAAAGAGATTAACACCCATTTCACTCAGAATCAAAAAAGGTTTGTGCCAATTAAGGAGTTCTGCTGTTCTTATCTTTATCTCCATTTTTAAAGAAAGAGGTCCCTCAAGCCACTCAAGCCAACTCCCCACTCTAAGCCACCTTGCAGGGTGGCAACATGACAACATTGAATTCAAAATGTTTCTTTTGAAATTACAACACAGAACAATTGAAGCTCATAAAGACAATACTACTAATATAGTATAACACATTGTATTTCTTTTATTTTTTTTCTGAATTTATATACTCAATACAGCAGAATGAAGGATAACAAAAATTTACTGCATATTTTAGAAAAAAGCAAAATCTTTTTAAAAGCACTTTCATGTCAACACACCTGAACCAGACATACATATCACAATCTTAATCACACATAAAGTATGTACATAAAAGAAAATAATTTCTAACTCAAACATAAGACAGGGCCTTTGCAGTAAATTCCTACTAATGATGTAAATACAGCAGAATGAAGGATAACAAAAATTTACTGCATATTTTAGAAAAAAGCAAAATCTTTTTAAAAGCACTTTCATGTCAACACACCTGTACCAGACATACATATCACAATCTTAATCACACATAAAGTATGTACATAAAAGAAAATAATTTCTAACTCAAACATAAGACAGGGCCTTTGCAGTAAATTCCTACTAATGATGTAAATACAGCAGAATGAAGGATAACAAAAATTTACTGCATATTTTAGAAAAAAGCAAAATCTTTTTAAAAGCACTTTCATGTCAACACACCTGTACCAGACATACATATCACAATCTTAATCACACATAAAGTATGTACATAAAAGAAAATAATTTCTAACTCAAACATAAGACAGGGCCTTTGCAGTAAATTCCTACTTTTACACGTTAACGTTTATGACGGTACTTGTCTGGAATGTCGAGGGAGGAGAAATGTGAGGCGATCAGGTCGAGTGAGACGTTCCACAGTTTTGAGGCAAGTTGAGGATCCTGTGCGGACTTGCTGGGCTCACAGCGACAACAGTTGTTGAAGTACAAACCACTGACGTCGCTGAGCTCAGTGGCAGAGGCGCAATACACCTGTGTACTGGCTGCCTGCTCCTGTCAAATATCATGTTTCAGTTTGTGTACTCATTCAGATCTGTTTGGTTTGTACTTTGAATGGATAAAAAGCCACTTGCATGTGGATCACGCATGTGTTACTCTGTCTACTCAGAAACAAGTTACAAACTATTTGTCTAGCATTGTTTGGTATTTAGAGATTTTATGGCTATTATCTATTATTATTATTATTGAACAGTAGTACTGCACACGAATGTATCCAATAATTATTAATTTTTGTATTAGCTTTCGATGGTTCAATCTTTTGTGTGACTTATAAACCAAAAATATCTTGATTTAAAGAAAACTTTCACGGTATAAACATTTGGGAATAAGTCACTGATAATGTCTCTGATCTTGTAACTATTTTAAGTCAAACTTTTGTGTTCACAACACTTATAAACCAAAAATATCTTGACTTAAAGAAAACTTTCACGGTAAACATTTGGGAATAAGTCACTGATAAAATCTCTGATCCTGTTACTGTTTTAAGTCAAACATTTAAGTCCACGACTTATAAACCAAAAATGTAAAGAAAGATTTAAAGAAAACTTTCACCTGTAAACATTTGGGAATAAGTCACTGATAAAGTCTCTGATCTTGTTACTTTTGTAAGTCAAACTTTTATTGTAACCAAAGTTTGTAAGTTAATAACACAGACATTTTTGAGTGGATTTTAGTTTTCAAATACATAGTCAATCAGTATATTTTTGTTAGACAACCTACCAGTGACTTTGTGAAGGGTCGAACCAGTGTAAAGAGTAGTCTATACAGACACCAGTGGCGGGACAGATCAGAGCTGACCATGTTGCCCGGGTGACAACTAAACACACAAATGTCCCGGGTGACCCAGCGCCGGGCCAGTTCCCGGGCTGCAACCACACCACACAGCTTGCTGTCATTGTACGCCATCATACTCCAGAACTGCTCCGGGCCGGGGCTCAACCACTCTTTGGATATGTTGCTGGCATTCATCGTACTGAAACTGAAAAAACGCTGAATAGCGTCAAAATCTTAGATCATCATTTTGAAAATACTTTTTGAACTGTCGAGAGATCCACTTTTCCGTTGGAAGCTACAAGTTCATAACCAAGCAGAATTGTGGTTAAGAGAAACGATTATCTTCATCACTGGTGTTGTGAAGAGTAGTATAAACATGTATACAATCACAAATATTCGGACAAAGAATACAGACATTTAGTAACAATTGAGTTAAATTAAAGTAGCGAATTGAAACACAATCATTACCAGTTAACTTAATTATTGACTGGGACGGGTGTCGTTGTCCTGTAATCCAGCTTCTAGGAGGTCACGAATTGTGGATATTTATAGGTATGCACTGTGGATGCGATACTCCCTGGTGTGGATTAACGTCCGCACGAGTGAGTACTACGTCTACCCGCAGTGCTATCCTGATAATTAGACCAATTCGTATATACCAAGGCAAAAAAATGTGGTTCGGATTCCACTATAAACTGTAGGTCCCTTAGTTGCCATTAGATGTATGGGTTATTAATTAACAGCTGTGTCTAAAGAATGTCGGCCTTAGTCACTAACAAGACTACAAGATCGCGCCACTCATCCTACACTCATCTCCATTCATACTTGGCTTAAATACCTACTTTGTATGGTCGCCATTTCATCGAAAATGATAAAAAACATGTATACAAGCACAAATATAATGTATATATTGACAAATAATAGAGACATTCAGCAACAAATGAGTCAAATTAAATTATCGAATTGAAACACAATTATTACCTGTTAACTTAATTATTCCTATTAACTTGGTATTCAGATTAATAATGAACCTGTAGGTTCACAACCAGTGGTTGCCTGACAAAAACCCAGATCTTTTGATAGTTCATTAGGTACTTTTGTACTTTTAGCGAATTTCCCATATAGGGAATAAGCTATTACCGTAGTACTCATGGTAAGACCTGGACGCGGGACCGATTTTTTTTTTGTTTTCAGGTCCCTAAAGGCCAAAAACACCATCCGTTCAAATTCATATATATATATATATGTGTCCGTCAGCACGATAACTCGAGCAAAAATGATCCGATTTTGATGAAATTTTGTACAAACGTGTAAACGTACGTTTATTCGAACGAGTTCGCGATCCAGCATGGTCGGACCATGGGAACGGGGGTTTACGGGGGGTTTTATGGGGTAAAAATAGGTTTTTCCCATTTTTGACCCAAAAAACATAAAATTTTGCAATTTCTTTCCAAACCATTTTGTAGAGCTTAAAAAAACAAATAATTTAGTATATTGAAGCGTTATTATGTGCCTAATGGTTACGGAGAAAATTCCAAAAAATTGTAAATTTAAAATTCCCATGTTATTCTTATGGAGAATAAGTAAACTGTTGTAGTTTGCTTGTTTGTGAACATATTTTGATCAAATTTGGAAAATGTTTTTATTTCTTACTAACTATTCACATTTTATAAAAAAAAAACAGTTTTCCCTGATGCAGCAAACCTAAGTACTTGTTAAACTAATTCTATTTAAATCAAGAATAAATGTTATATTTTTAAGTAGACATTTCTGTGTAAATCCAATCAGTCAAATGGAAATTCGCTTAGTCTGCAAGTTTGCTGCGGCGGGGGTATTTTATTTGTAACAACTTAATCCAGAGGTAAAAGTGTAGCTTTTAGATTACGGTATCTTTGTTCGAGACCAGTGGTGTAGTGGATTGGGATTGGGAATGGTTAGGAATGGCATTCCCACTGTGTTTCTCCAAAAATCCTATACTGTAAATAATATGCAACCTGTGTTTTTCCGAGACTCATAGTTAGCGTTCCTGAAATGCAAAATGTACAACTACACCACTGTGACACATGTACTCTTTGACTTCTAGAAACTGAAGGTCCTACAGCAGAGGGCTTTAAATCATTAGGATATTTGATTTGTTGAAAACAACAAAAACCAATTGAGATTAGCATTAACGGTATTTACAATTTTGTTTCATATTAGATTCATGATGCTATGAAACAACTGCAAAATTTATCAAATGATTTAAAGCAATCCAATCTCATCAAACAGATCACCTGTTGATTTAAAGTATCACATGCGAGGGTTGTATGTAAATTGAGGTCTCCATCGAGCTTCCCTCCTTGGATAGCCCTTGTATTATTACAGTAGCATTTATTCAGAGTTAATTTGCCACAAATCTAGCTATCGACTGTTCCTCATAACGTTTCTGAGTGTTACATTTAATTTCCAAAACAAAATAAAACTCACCGATGAGATTCTGATGAGACAAAGACCACTCTGGATGGAGCCGCTTTGGCGAGCATTTCTTCCAGGAGCAACACAAGGTAGAACTGACTGAGATAGTTGACTTGGAATGTTGTTTCTAAACCATCCTCAGTCAAGGAATGGGGCAGAGCAAACACTCCTGCATTCAGGATCAGAATGTCGACACCTCTGTAGAACCAAGTATGTATTTATAAGGGTTAAAAAGACAAAAAAGTTGATACTGACAATTATAAATTATGGTACCTGTCTGTCTTTAAATCTTAACTGATGGAAAGCCACTGGTCAAAATTTGCTGAAATGATAGAAATTATTGATTCATGTAGCATGACTATAAACCTATTACAGTACTGAATTAATATCGACTGTGGTTCTGTTCCTCAGGCTTTCAAAGTGTTTGGAGTTTGGATAGAGCTATTGTGAGTAAACATTTCTTGATCTTTAAACACTTATACACAGACTATAAAGCTTGGTTTACACGGGTCGAGTACGGCGGGCGAGTCAGTGTGCGAGTTGCCACTCGCTCTTTAACTCGCTTGGTGTAGACATGCAGGCGAGTCGAGCAACGGGCGAGTTGATAAAAAGAGGTCAGTTGAGAGCGAGTCGAGTGATTTAGTTGAAAACCGAGTTGCTCGGCCCAGTAGCTACCCCCACCACCACGATTTGCCCGCAAAACATCTGTTTACTGCTCTCATGAGTCCAGCGACCACAGAAAAAATTTTTTTGTTATTTTGTGGTCGCTGACAAAGAGTCGATCACAACGTTCAGTATTTTTGGGGTTAGTTCAGTAGTGTATGCCTAATCACCCTCAATACTAAATGGTTCAGTTGAACAGTTGGCCCTGTGTTGCATTGTCTTGCTGTTCGTAAATCTACTCACTCTTATAAAATTCAGTTTTCAAAATTGTTGTACAACTTAATATCTACAGTTCTACTTTTGGTTGCCTATATGTTTTATTTTAAAGAAATGCAGTACCGGTATAGTAATTTGTAACAAATCTTATTCTTTTAGAATATCACCTTCCACTTTGGTCTATTGTATTAAAAAAAAACTTTTAAGCAACCCTGCCTGAATTAAATGGATGATTTAGTTTTAATTCGAATCTAATTCAGTGATTTAATTAATTTATAAATTCAACATTAAACTCTTGAAAGTCCCATTTTAAACTCAAACAACATTTAACACGAAAGCTAAGGTATACGGAATACCCTACACCACAGAACACAGAGAAATTATAAAAATTACTTCTCTGTGCCTACTTACACTGTCATTGTTCTAAATAGGAATTTTAGAAATGCGTGTAGACAGTCTAGTCAAGTACCGGGCGAGTTGAACAAATCAACAACTGGGCCTAGTAACTGGGCCGAATAACTCGTCTGACATACTCGACCCGTGTAAACCAGGCTTAAGAATCACATTGAACAAAATAGTATATCATAACAAGAGTAGAAAGTGAGTCATTACATACTTGAGCTTGAGACCATGTTTGAAGTGCAAGCTTTATCAAGCTTTACTTGTCGACTTTCACTCGTGTGTGAAAGTGTTTTAAACGTTACTTTTCGCTACACCACAAAGACTAATATTATTTTCTTAATTAAAACAGATTTTGGATACTTCGTTATTACAGTTAGGGACATTACAGAACGCCAGCATTTTTTTAGGTTATGCCTTCAATTTAATAGTATATTTCATAACAAGAGTAGAAAGTAATTCATTACATATTTGAGACCATGTTTGAAGTGTAGAATTTATCAAACACTTTAAATGATGGAGACTATAGACCCACTTTCACTCGTGTTTTGAACGTTACTTTTGCTACACTAAAAAGAATAATTATTTTCTTCATTACTAAACTCATAGAATTTTTTAGGTTATGCCTTCAAATTTAAGTTAGTGTTTACTTTAGTTGTTGACATTTTTAACAGATGATAAAACAATAACAAATATTTTTTGTGCTACAATACATACAAAAATACTTGTTAATGCTTAGTGGTGAGAGATAATTTCATATGTCAGGTGAGGGAATCGTAAGCTTTTCACTCAAAGTATAGTTTTATATCAGGTGACAACAGTACCTGTTGAACCGTGGATCTCCTCTGAGTGTATTTACAAACTCCTTGACACTTCGTAGAGAGCGCAGGTCCAGTGGCACAGCTGTGCACAGAGCCTGGGGTCTCTCTGCTCTGATACGTTTGATTGCCTCTTCCGCTCGCGCTACTGATCGACATGCCAACACAACGTGACAACCGTGCCTGGCCAACGCTCGTGATGTCTCGTAACCTGTTTCATACGATACATTATTCAATTTTGTAATTACTTTCTACGTAGCCTTGGTTTATAGACTTTGTGTTTTCAGGCCACCTGCATTTTTTTTCAAAATCTGGTCTTGTAACTATCTAACAAATGACACCTTCAGATTTGAAGGCAAGTATAAGGGTGAATAAAAAGTCAAGGCCTTTCAAGACCTCTGTAAATATGCAGAGATATCCTTATGGCGGTCGTGCAAACTTAGAGAAAAGTTTCATTTTTAGATATGAAAACTTTTGAGTGCTAAAATGGGGGATTTTGGGGACAGCTCAAAACTTTTAAATGTAAACCCACTTCAAATGACACCTAATTTTTAAGTGAACTTTTTGCTAAGTTGAACGACCACCAAAAGGAAATCTCTGTATATTCACTAAGAAAAATATTATATGGGAGTAAGGGGGATCTTGACTTTCTATTCACCCTATATATTAACCAAGGGGTTATTGTGCTGGCCTTCAAATCTGAAGGCCACTGGTTGGATTCTAACTTCTAAGCCAGACAGTTTCTTTATACGCATGTTATTTGTCATTGCCTATCAAATGATGCCATCCAACTAAAGACCAACGTTAGATAGTAACAAGGTTTTGGACTGTTCCCTTAGAAAAATCGTTCAAAAATGCTAATGGTATAGATACACAAATAAAAATGTAACTATTACCACTAGGCTACCCAGACAAATATATTTCAAGCATTGTGGCTGAAACTGAAAAGAGATAAAACCCTTTGTCTCTATCTTCCATCATCTCTCCCAAAATTGCTAATAAACAAAGTGCGTTTTTAGTGACTAAGTGATAGTGATGTTAGAAGAAACCAGACACAGCTCCTGAGGATACCACACTTGTGGCAAAATGTACATAGAGCTTAACATTATTATTTCATCAAGAACCTGGCAATCAAAAGGTAAACAACATACCTAATTAATTATTTTGTTCTTGAATCTGGGAATTAACGCTGCATGAAACTTTGTTGGTTGAACTCCTCCGCCATTTCTTAACCGATTTTATCCATTGACGTCTCATTGGAAAGAGCGTGTCACGTAGATTTGCAAACTGGCCTTACATTTTTGAAAAAGTCCCTTGGGCTCTGCCCCAGTGGCTTTGAAAATTCCCATGTTATACTTATGAAGAACATAATTGTTTACATTTTGATCAGCTGTATAATGATAAATTGCTGTTATTTTATTTTTCAATTCAATGAAACGCATGTAGTACATTTATTTACTATTTGAGTTTGGTGTAACATAACCCCGAGACGGATCGTGTTAGTATGGTTGTACAGTATCTTAAATTTTGTGTATTTATCGTTGTTTTGTGTGTCGCTATGACGGATCGTGTTAGCATGATTGTAACAATTGGTACCTTAAATTTGTGCATTTTATCGTTGTTTTGAGTGTAGCTATAATTTGTTTATTGTTGTTGTTTTTTTCTTTTAAATGCCTCCGACGCGACAACAACGAAGCATAGAAAGGAGGCGTAATGCGTGATAACGACTGCAGCTACAGAACAGTGGCGCTGTATAGGTTTAACTCATCACAGTCAGCACCTGACCCTGTTAATCTCAACTATTAGGTTACAAATGCGCCCTAACACTACCCAAAAAACGACTTTTCGTTCTCAATTGGCCCTCTATCAATGACCTGTTGTTTGCTCTGTACAGCGAGGCATTTGAGAGAAGGAGAGAAACTGGCCGGGATATGCTTTAAGTTAATCAATAACGAAGATAAACATGGTCTTAGTTACACACCGGTCATCTTTGAGTTGACTCAATAAACTCATTAAAAAAATGACTGTTATTCGTTTTGAAATAACTCCAGTAATACTTTGCAATTGCTCGAATTCGAGCAACAGTACACTAGTACCACATAAATTCAAAAAAACATCTGATCGCCATCCACCTGATTACTTCCACAGTCATAGATACTAAGGTCTGTTCTGGTGTTTCACCTTGTCTATATCCAAATAAAACACTCCCACGCCAGTACTATTTTTTTTCTTTAACACCCAGATGTTGTTAAAAAACTCCATGAGTGAATCAGACGTCTAGTGTAATATACTATGCTGTCATTATAAAATGAAAAAAAATCTGGTAGTATAAAGCCTGTGGCAGGGCCGCGTTTAAGGGTCAGTGGAGCCCTGGGCAAACCCAAAAGCAGTGTCCCCATTTTTTCCTAGTGCGGACAGGCGGTGGTTGAGGGGCACCCACCTGCCCGTTTATAAAAGTGGGCCTGGCCTGTGGTGTAGTGGGTTGAGCACGTATGGAACAACGTTTCTACTCTCAATCTGCTTTTTTCCAAAAGTCTTATCCAACCATTGATAGGCGGGCCCCTGTTTTTTCTGCAACAAAGGGGAATGTTTCCCCATTGACACATTTTGACACCACTGAGGCACTGATGTTCTCACATTGGAAAATGTCCAACTACACCACTGTGACTGTGCAAGGCCTTGACTTCCCAACCACAAGTCAGAACCATGGAAGTTGGGGGGGATGGGTAAGGGGGGGGTCAAATTTTCTCTCAGTCTGGTGTAGCCTACAATAAAAAGGAGTTAGGCTGTCTGTAGCAGAACTGGTGGTTAGCTCAAATGAAAGGTGACAGGATGGATAGATTATTTACAGTTGCATCTCTGATCAAAATGTTTCCATTTAATTTATCTTACGGTACTATTTTATGTCTAATGGTGACTAATCAAGGTTCCAAAAAACAGAAATTTTAATTCCTATCTTAAATTTATTGAGTTGTAGTTTGCTTGTTTATGGATATCTATTTCTATATATGAAATAGGCAAGCACGGTTTTTGTCGAGCAGAACTCCTCCGTGGTTTCTCAACCGATTTAAGGTCTTAGATGTTGAAAAAGTCCCCTGGGCTCTGCACCACTGTTTTTTGAAGTTTCCGTGTTATCATTATTTGTTTACATTATGATCAGCTGGATAAATCAAATCAAATCTTTATTGCCAGAACATTTTACAATTTATAGCAGTGTCAACTAGTATAAATCTATATATATTAAAGGCAAAGCCCTCACTGACTGACTGACTGACTCACTCACTCATCACTAATTCTCCCACTTCCCGCTTACCTAGGAGGCTGAAATTTGGTACACTGATTATTTAGGCATTAAATAGGAAAACTAAGTGGTTTTTATTCTGATCGGACTCTCGGGCTCCGCCCCAGTGGCTCTGGAGTTTCCATGTTAACCTAATGAGAACTCATATTTAAATGGAATTAATGAATCATAACAGCTGTTTCAATTAAACAAGTTGGTTCTGTTCTATGATGTTAAATAGCATTAAAGTTACAAGGATTACCAACAGAGTGCAGCACTATTATTTTTTTAAATATTTGACAACAGCTAATTTGAAACCAAAAGGTGAGTGAGCGTAGCGAAACGAACTTCAACCTGGAGGCGAGGTAGCGTAGCGAACGAGCTAACCTGAAGGCAAGTGAGCGCAGCGAACGAGCTCCAACCGTAAAGGTGAGTGAGCGTAGCGAATGAACTTCAACCAGGACGTGTGAGCGCAGCGAACGAGCTCCAACCTAAAGGTGAGTGAGCGTAGCGAACGAACTTCAACCTGGACGTGATTGCAGGGCCTGATTACCCATTAGGCTAATTAGGCTGGAGCCTAGGGCGCCAGTCAGCCAAGTGTTTTAGGGGGGGCGCCAGACAGCTAAGACTTAAAGTTGGGACTGGGGGCGTAAAGGCCCCATCTAAAGACCCTAATAAAATTGTTTTAGGCCTAGGTAATTAACAGTTAATTTAGAAAGTACGTATATTATTGTTTGGTTTTTGATATTTTAAGGTTAGGTCTACTTTTGATTTAATACAATCATATGTTAAATAAACTGTAAAATAAATACATTATTTTAAATCAAAAAGTTTTACATTCCTTGAACAACCGATTTGTTACTATTTTAAGCCTCGTTCGCACTAGTGCAGCATTTGTTTAACATTGAACATAAGGCGAAAAATTGCAGGTTGCCCGTTGCCGGCGTCCCTGGGACTGCCGGCATTTTCCACCATATGTTCAATGTTAAAAGATTGCGTGACGCTGCCCGTCCGTGCCTTGCCGCCCTAGTGCAAACGAAGCTTTATAAGGTTTGTACTGTGAACTTAGTTTAAACAATGTCCTTCTGTATCTATACTCGACCAGAATTAATAGTGCTTATGACTATGTCATATTGTTTAGCTCTTGAATTTAAAATATTATCTCAAAGTCGAAAGATTTGCAGTTTTAAAAAGTTCCTAATCAAACCATGCATTAATTTATGATCAGCTTTCTTTTGTTTTTAAATAAACTGAATAGTAGTATAATGCCTTTGGTAATTTTTAATTTTTGAATGCAGAATTATAGTATTCATACTTTGAAATTTTGAAAGTGGTGGCAGAGAGGAGGGCTAGTGGTAGGGAGGAGGGGGGGGCGCGAAAAAACGTCAGCCTACTGGCGACTAGAGCCTTAATCAGGCCCTGCGTGATTGAGCCATGTGAACGAGCTCACATATGAAGTTAAACGGGGCAAAGCCCGCGGGTACAGCTAGTATAACTATAAAACAGTCCACAGATAATCACAGACATTTTAGTTATACTATACATGGTCATTAACATTAAGGAAAACTCATTTATGTCATATGGACTAATACTAATCAAAAGGTGCTTAACGTTCCTCTTAAAACAGTTAAATTCTAAACATTTATAATGATAGGGTAGAGAGTTATACAGTTGTTTTCCCCATTTCAACAAAACAATTCAGAGTAATTTTTAAATTACACTGGGAAATTCTAAGTGAGTTACAGTTTCTAGTGAAATAGTTATGAACATTTTTATTTGTATGCAATGCACATTTCTTTTAATAAACAACAGACATTCAAAAATACACATTGCTGGTACAGTGAGTATGTTGAATTTTCTAAACAATGGCTTACTGTGAGTCCTCATGTCAACATTTGCTATGACTTTAATAGCACGCTTTTGTTCAATTAGCAATT